ACATAGGTAGTAGCCAGGCAGTGGGCACTGTGGGCCTTGGGCAAGACCCAGTGCTGTGCTGGCTTTGGGTTTGACCCAGTGCAGTCCTAGTGGTGGTGGCTACAGGGGTGCTTGCATCACCCCTGCCCTAGCTCCAGGCAGCTTAGCACAGAGAAAGAGACACTATTTGTTTGGTGGAAAGTAAGGTAAGATAACAAAAGTCTCCTCTTGGTAATACAGGGAGTTCTCCTGGATCTTACACAAGACCACCAAGGCAGTACTTCTACAAGTTGGCAATAGCCAAAGCATTACTGGGCTTGAGGTACCTCCTAATGCAGATTCAGCTACAGTGAGCAAAGACTTAGATCACAACACTCAAGTCCCTTTGAATACTTGGAAAGCTTTCCCAAGAAGGATAGGTATGAACAAGCCCAGACTGTGAAGATTACAATAAATACCAAACTCTTTAATCCCCAGACACCAATCAATGTCCAGAAGCATCAAGATCATCCAGGACAACATGACCTCACCAAAGGAACAAAATAAGGCACCAGAGACCAATCTTGGAGAGACAGAGATATGTGACCTTTCAGACAGAGAATTCAAAATAGCTGTTTTGAGAAAACTCAAGGAAATTCAAGATAATACAGAGAAGGAATCCAGCCTGTCAGATAAATATAACAAAGAGACTGAAACAATTAAAAAGAATCAAGCAGAATTCTGGAGCTGAAAAACGTAATTGACATACTGAAGAATTATCAGAGTCTCTTAACAGCAGAATTGATAAAGCAGAATAAAGAATTAATGAGCTTGAAGACAGCCCAGTTAAAAATGCACAATTAGAGGAGATGAAAGAAAAAAGAATAAAAAGGAATGAAGCATGCTTGTAAAATCTAGAAAATAGCCTCAAAAGGGCAAATCTAAGAGTTATTGGCCTTAAAGATGAGATAGAGAAAGAGATAGGGATTGAACATTTATTCAAAGGAGTAATAACAGAGAACTTCCCAAACTTAGAGAAAGATATCAATATTCAAGTACAAGAAGGTAACAGAACACCAAACAGATTTAAGCCAAAGAAGATTACCTCAAGGCATTTAATAATGAAACTCCCAAAGGTCAAGGATAAAAAAAGGATCCTAAAAGCAGCAAGAGAAAAGAAACAATAACATACAAAGGAGCCCCAACACATCTGGCAGCAGACTTTTCAGTGGAAACCTTACAGGCCAGGAGAGAGTGGCATGACATATGTTTTTTAAAACTTTTATCCTAGAATGGTATATCTGGCAAAAATATCCTTCAAACATGAAAAAGAAACACTTTCCCAGATAAAAAAAGAAACCTGAGGTATTTCATCAACACCAGACCTGCCATATAAGAAATGCTAAAGGGAATACTTCAAGCATAAATAAAAAGATATTAATGAGCAATGAGAAATCATCTGAAGGTACAAAACTCACTGGTCATAGTAAGTACACAGAAACATACAGAATATTATAACATGTTAATTTTGGTGTGTAAACTCATATCTTGAGTAGAAAAACTAAAAGACACACTGATCAAATATAATAACTACAACAACTTTTCAAGATATGTCAGTTTAAAATAATGGGTTATAAGATATTACGGTAACCTAGAATTTAAAAACATACAACAGTTATACAAAAAATAAAAGCAAGAAATTAATAGAAGAATTTATCAAGTGGAATAAAAAATCAGTGAGCTTGAAGACAGAAATTAAAACATGCTACCAGAGAAAATTGTCTTCACTAAAAGGAAGAGAGGAAGGAAAGAGAGAAGGAAGGGAAGACCACAAAACAACCAGAAAAAAATTAACTAAATGTCAGGAGTAAGTTCTTACTTATCAATAACAACATTTAATGTAAATGGACTAAACTCTCCAATCAAAAGATGTAGAGTGCCTGAATGGATTTTTTTTTTTTAAAGTCCCAGTGATCTGTTGCCTACAAGAAACACACTTCACCTATAAAGACACACAGACTGAAAATAAAGAGATGGAAAAATATATTCCATGCAAGTGGAAACCAAAAAAGAGCAGAAGTTGCTATACTTATATCAGACAAAATAGATTTCAAGACAAAAACTATAGAAAGAGACAAAGAAGGTCATTACATAATGATAAAGGGGTCAATTCAGCAAGAGGAAATAAAAATTATAAATACATATACACCCAATGCTGGAGCACTCAGACACAGAAAGTAAATATTATTAGAGCTAAGGAGAGAAACAGATCCCAATACAATAACTGTTGGAGATTTCAACAACCCATGTTCACTTTTGGATGTGATTTTCTCTCTGGACAGGTCATCCAGACAGAAAATCAAATAAGAAACATTGGACTTAATCTGCACTGTAGACTATATGGACCTAATAGATATTTACAGAACATTTCAACCAATGGCTGCAGAATGCATGCTCTTCTCCTCAGCACATAGATCATTCTGAAGTAAATAGAATATATGTTAGGCCATCCATATCCATACGCAGAAGATATCCATGTGCAGAAGAATGAAACTAGACCTCTTTCTCCACACACAAAAATCAAATCAAAATGGATTAAAGACTTAAATCTAAAAACCATAAAATGACTAAAAGAAAACTTTGAGGAAACTATCCAGGACATTAATCTAGGCAAAGATTTCTTGAGTAATATCCCACAAACACAGGCAACCAAAGCAAAAACGGACAAATGGAATCACATCAAGTTAAAGAGCTTCTGCACAGCAAAAGAAACAATCAACAAAGTGAAGAGACAATCCACAGAACAGGAGAAAATATTTGCAAACTACTCATCTGACAAGGAATTAGTAACTAGAATATATAAAAAGCTCAAACAACTCAATAGGAAAAAACTAACAATCTGCTTTTAAAATGGACAAAAAATCTGAATAGACATTTCTCAAAAGATGACATACAAATGGCAAACAGGCGTATGAAAAGGTGCTCAATATCACTGACCATCAGAGAAATACAAATCAAAACTACAATGAGATTATCATCTCATCCCAGTTAAAAGAGCTTTTATCGAAAAGACAGGCAATAATGAATGCTGGTGAGGATATGGAGATTGTACACTGTTGGTGGGAGTATAAATTAGTACAATAGAGAGTACATTAGTACTATGAAGAAAAATTTGGAGGTTCCTCAGAAAACTAAAAATAGAGCTACCATATGATCCAGCAACCCCATTTCTAGGATATACCCCCAAAAAGAGATCAGTATATTGAAGAGATAGCTACACTCCCATGTTTATTGTAGCACTATTCACAATAGTGAAGCTTTGGAAGCAGCCTAAGTGTCCATCAACAGATCAATGAATAAAGAAAATATGGTACATATACACAATGGAGTACTACTATTCAGCCATAAAAAAGAATGAGATCCTGTCATTTGCAACAACATGATTGGAACTGGAGGACATTATGTTAAGTAAAATATGCCAGGGACAGAAAGACAGAGTTTGCATGTTCTCACTTATTTGAGGGAACTAAATATTTTAAAAATTGAACTCACAGACAGAGAGAGTAGAATAATGGTTACCAGAGGCTGGGAAGGGTAGTGGGGCATTATGTAGGGGGAGAATGGCGATGGTTAATGGGTACAAAAATATCATCACATAGAACAAATAAGATCTAGTATTTGACAGCACAACAGAGTGACTACAGTCAATAATAATTTATTGTACATTTTAAAATAACTGGAAGAATATAATTTGAATGTTTGTAACACAAAGAAAGGATAAATTCTTAATGTGATGGATACCCCATTTACCCTGATAAGATTATTGCACAGTGTATGCCTGTATCAAAATATCTAATGTATCCCATAAATTTATACACCTACTATGTACCCACAAAAATTAAGAATAAATTTTTTTTAAAAAAGGAAGGGAAGAGAAGGAAGAAACTAACAGCATGTAAAAGATAAAAAGAATCAAGTTGAGACAAAGCATATCCCAAGAGAAGAGGTAAATTTACTTCCATATTCTGCTCAAAAAATATTAATAAACTAAATTCAACAAAACAAGATCTCAAAGACTCAATAATAGAATGACAAAATAAAATGAAAATGCAGGTCACGAACATATAGAAATAAATTGAGAATCATGTCCCTTTATCACTCTAGGGTCCTAGGCTGGTTAGCAAAATTCAACTGAGTTGGAAAGGAGTGGGCAACTGTCATTAAGGTCAATCAATATTAACTGTTTTGAGATTTGCTAAAGGGTTCAGAATTACAGCCAGATAGGAAGAATAAATTTTAGTGTTCTATACCACTGGAGGATGGCATAGTTAACACTAATATGTTATATAGTTTCAAATAGCTAGGAAGAGGATATTGAACATTCCCAATACAAAGAAATGATAAATATTTGAGATGACAGAAATGCTAATTACCCGGATCTGATCACTCTACATTATATGTATCAAAATAGTGCTTTGTACCCCATGAATATGTAAAATCAGTATTTGTTAGTTAAGAAGTACAATTATACTTAAAAATTAGCTACTTCTTTTGCTATGCAAACACTGATAGGAACTACATAGAGTTGATCAATGAAAGCACAAGATTACTAAATGAAAGCGATGAGAGCAGTGTATCATTCACACAACTCCACCATTACTAGTTGTGTGTCAGTTGTATCAGTGTAATCAGCAAAAGTAAGCTAACATTACGTACTTCAGCAAGGTTGTTGTGAATATCGAATGAGACGATATTTGTAACATGTTGAACACAATTGTAGCTTGACAAGTGGCAACTGTTATTATTTGGCTTTTGGGACAGTAAAATGTTTCTGAAATGGTAAATGAGAACATAGCATGATGACCTAGTGTTGCCTTTCTTTAGGGCTATCCATAGGATACTACTTCTATAGATCCTACAAATCCATCACCCCTAATAGTTTTGAGATCTTAGGATTAGTTAATTAATACGGCAGATTTTTCATATATCTTCTAATCCTGGGCCACATGTAATGCTTACACCAGTGAAAGCAAATTTCTTACCTGCCTTTGTCAAGTAAACCTTTCCACGTTGAGAAACAAAAGTAATAGCTGATGTATAAAAACTATGAAAAGTCTTCTTTATGATATCATCATGAAAGTCAGCTACTAATTGAAAGGTGCTGCCGCCATCGACTGAAAGCCATATCTAAAGGAATAAAGAGATTATACCTCACTAAATAGCTGCCATGCAACAGTTGGCAATTACCTATCAGCCTACATGAGAATAGCCATGTAGCATGATCTTTTCCATATGCCTACATTCATCACACACACACACACACACACACACACACACACACACACACACACACA